AAATCCTTGAACTTCTCCTTATAATTGGTCTGGCAAAAAAGTCTAGAATTAAATTTACTACTTAAATGCAAAAGCAATTTAGGTTCTCTATACATATCTCTTTCCTTTAATCAGCTCCCTCCCTTGCTCTGCCTTTTAATCTGCATTTTATCGTCTTCATTTATATGTTTGCTTTACATATAAAATAGCTCAACAAGCCCAGAGTTCTCTAAGGGATCCAGATACTGCAGAAAGGAGGAAGTACTGGCCATGAGCGCCCTTACCTTGTGAATTTCTCGGTGTACGTGGATGGTATTATTTCCAACCTTGGTGTCTGTGTTGGTCTCATTGTGGTAGCTAGGAGGTAAATTTTCCAAGTTCACTTCTGAGGATGTTTTAGCAGCAGCTTCTTCTGCCTCCATCTATCAAACCAATGAATTTAATGAGTAATACATTCCTCTATACAATCCTCTCTTATCACAAATCAGAGACCATGAGAATTAAAAAAGCCCCCCTTTTCCTCTTTTGCAATTTTTAATAATGGTGATAATGGCAAGTGAGGGTAAATGAGCACTCAGTCTTTATAAGACATTTTACTGAATGTTTTGCATATATTACTCATTGTCACCAAGCCAATTCCACCTGACAGGGACTCTGTTAGACAGAGGTGTTCCAGAGTCATCAGTCTTTCCTGAAGGAGCCCTGACAGTGTAGCTTGGTAAGTGCTAAGCTGCTAACCAGAAGATGCACAGTTTGGACCCAAAAGTCACCTAGTGGGAGAAAGATGGACAATCTTTTTCTGTACAGACTCACTGTCTCAGAAACCAAGCTATGGGCGCCATGAGTGGAATCGAACCAGACAAAGGGCACTCTGAGTGCAATTGATTCAGTACAAGTGGGATTTGGTTTCAGGCAATCTTTTTTTTTTTTAAATAAATTTATATTTGTTTATTTACAAAGTTCATATACATTGTTTTTCACATCGAATCTTTCCCATTTCTTTCACCCTCCCCTCTCTCCACCCATCAAATTACACAACATTTTGTTTGCTTATCTGTTTTCTGGGGTTTGTGTTTTGTTTAATTTGGGGGTTTTTATTATTATTAATTTTAATGAAAATGTACAGAGACTTTGGATTTCCATTCATTCATTGTTGCACTTTTCTCCCTGCCCACCCCTTCCCCCACCTCCCCCAGGCACTCTTGATGGATGCAAACTGTCAATATTTCTTCAGCAGAGTGGCCAGTGGGTTTAAACCTTTAACCTTTCAGTTAAAAGCCAAGTAATTAACCACTGTACCACCAGGACTCTTTTACTTATCTATTTAAAAAAATCACTGCCATTGAGTTGATCCTGACACACAGCAACCCTTCAAGGCAGTGAATCTTCATGAGAAGAGACTGCCTCACCTCTGTCCCATGGAGTAGCCGGGGAGTTCCAACTGACAATCATTGGATTTGCACTTCCACACTTCACATACTACATCGTCAAAGTGATGCCCCATAAATCTTACAGAATCCCTAGGTCAGTCAGTCATTTCCACTTAGTCTGAACCAACTCACAGCTGACCCTGCAGCTGTGGATCGTGTGAGAGGAGATGGCCCACCTTTCTCCCTTGGAGCTAATGGTGGATTTAAATCACCGGACAGGCCTTTAGGTTAGCAATGTAATCCCCATGGACCACAGCACCAGAGACTCCCTATGAGGTGAGTGTTAAGGTCGCTATTTTACAAATGGAGAAACTGATAACTTTCCAAGACTCCCAGAGAGGGAGTGTGGAGCTGGAACTTGAATGCCAAAAGTAAAACAAATCTGTTTTGTACCAAGAGAAGCCAGAGTGCTCCTGAAAAGCAAGGATGCTGAGACATCCTCCAATATACTTTGGGCTTGTTATCTGGAGGTTTCAGTCCCTGTAAAAGAACACCATGCTTGGAAAGTAGAGGGTCAGTGAAAGAGAGGAAACCCCACAATGAGCTGGCCTGGCTCAGTGACTACAATGACAGGTGTAGGCCTAGCAGAGACGTGAGGCTTGGGCAGACTTTCCTTTTGTAAAAAAGGTCAATGTGAGTTGGAACTGACCCAATGGCACCTAACAACAACATGGACAGCCTTGGACCTTTATAGAAACTGTCTGTATCCGACTCATTGCTAATTCATAACAACTTTATAGGACTCCATAGGGCACAGCAGAATTGCCCACAGAGGCCACTTTTACAGAAGCAGACAGCCACATCTTTTGCCCACCAAGTGGCTCATAGGTTTGAACTGCTGACCTTTCAATCAGCAGCCAAGCACTTAACAACTGTGTCAACAAGGCTATTTCCCTGTAGCCTACCTGTATTCAATTCCCATACAATCAATTTCACCTCTCTGAGGGCATCTGCAGATATGTGCTTCGTCCACAAACACTAGGGAGCTGACCCCTGAGGAACAATCTTTAGCTAGTGAGGGGCAGGCCACTTGGCTTCCTCTTTCCCAGGACAAGTCTGAGGCCGGGAGAATCTACAGTCTCTCTCCAAGGGCCCCCAGTAGGAATAAGCCCTAGTTGCCCATAGTAGTAATCAACTAATTATCACACCCTTTTTGCCTTTCTTCTTATCTATCTCATCTCTCCAATTTTTTTCCTAGGGTTTCCTGGGATCATCTGACAAATCCTTGTTTCTGGGTCCAGTAAGAGTTAGGAGTCCAAATTAAGAGAAGCTCTTCCCCATTGGAGTTGTTATTGGTTTTGTTTGCCACTGAGTTGAGCCTCCACTGGGTTTTCAGAGGCAGTAAATTGCATGGGAGGAGATTGCCCACCCTTCTTCCATAGAGCACCTGGTGCATTTGACCTCTGTATGTGCCTTTGGCATGTAGCACAGCTTCTTACCAACTAGGCCACTCGAGTTCCTTCACTTAGAGCACTAATTCCCTTTAGAGTACGGTCAGAAATATGTCTCCTCCACCATCCCATCCCTACTGAGGGATCCTTGTAGAGTGTTGACCAATTTCTAGGGCCACACCCTTTCTGGCTTTTCTCACACATCTCCTTCAGGAGCATCAGATTTCTGGGCCTACTCAGAAGCCCAGTCCCAGAGCCTCAGCAGATGACATATACACCAGATATATTAGTCAGCTTGCTGCTGCACCCAACTTCCCCTTACAGTTATTGCTCTGTCCCCAGCCCTGATTATTGGACAGGAGACAACTTGACCCACCTTTGTCTACAGCTGACTAGAAACAGAAGTTGTGTCATGAACTAGAGTAGTGAGAGAAGATCTTCACCCTGAAACCTACAG